GACCTTCAAAGCGTGCTTTAAAAACTGCCCCTTTTGAAGCCAGCTCTGTTAGGTGGAGTTCTTTTCATTTGCCTGAAATGTTATAGTCTCTACTTCCTCACTTGTGACTTAAGGGTGTTTTGTTATTCGAACACAAACAGAATTTCTATGCTAATTTGAATTCTGATTTCTTTTATTTATTTGCCCAGTTGGAGTGTTTTTTGTTGGGAAAAAAAAAATTGAGGTAAGGAAGTACCTACTGAGGGAGACCCAATTAGTCTTTGAAAATGCATTTCCTCACAGTCAAAACATTGAAGCAGGAGGTGAAAATTAAACATTCAGCCATATAGGGATATTTTTAAAAACAGACTTAATAGTCTAAAATTGAATATAAATGCCTTGGATCCTTTAAACATTGGCGAGTTGACTTTCCTTTCATAGCCTATAGGTGATAAATTCAATTAAAAGGCATCTCTTCCCTCCCACCTGCCATTTCTGTATGCACAGCTGTGCGTTTATCCCCAGGATTCTGGGTTTGCCAGACTGTGCTAAACATAAGTGTTCACACTTTCTCATGTAAACTCACTAAGACAATAATGTAGCACTGTCAGGAAATACTTGCATTGGCTGAAATGTCATCTTCTCTAATTCGAAGCCATGAGGATAAGTCCTCATGACCACACATAGAAATAAAGATCCCCCTCCCAGAGCTTAAATGTAGAGGCAAGATCAACTGTGTTGAAGGTTTTGTAACCCTTCAATACTAAAGTTCCTCTCTCATAAAGAGAGGAAACTTAAAAATTACCATTTAGATGAAATAGGATAGGACCAAGAAGGTTGTGAAGTGGGCAGGTGGAAATATATCTGCTAAAGAATTGAAGATAATTTAGAGAAGCCATGCATTTGGATCAAGTATGAGGAATACAGAGTAATAGTAATGCTGATCACCCACAATTTTTGAACTTGTGCTATTTGGTAAGCATTGTCCTAAGTGCCTTTATACATTAATCATTAATTATGGGGGCTACATAAAAATACCAATTGAGAGACTCTGGAGGAGAAAAAAAAAGGAACTCTCGGGTGACCATACCCCAGGGAAGGGTCTTGGTAAAGGGAGACTTTTCTTCCAAAAACATGTGTGTGTTGACCATAGTGCTGCTCAGGTGGCTTCTCTAACTGTTGAAAGGAAGAAGAACTTTGCTTGTGACCAGTCTGAGCAGAATTGCTTCCTGAAGCCAGAACAGGTGAAGAAGATGGTGTGGATAGAGCTGGCGCGTCCTCCAGTACCACAGCTGTGTTCTTGGAAGATCTCTGACTCATTTCGCAGAATCATACATTGAAAGTGATAGATTTTGTGAGAAAAATGGGGCTGGGGCTGGCCACTCAAAATCTATGCAATAGCTCTCTAGCTGGAGAACCAACAAAAACAGTAACAGCCCTTCTAAAAAGACCGGTCCCATCAACTTCCATCTGGCCTTCAGAATCCCATTGACTCCATTCTTCGCCCTGTACCCTGAGGCTCTGGCTTCCTCTTTCTACTGCAGTCAGTCCCTTCTAATAGAGCACTTTCTGCCAATCTAAAAATAGGATCCAGGGTTTGTCTTCTTCATCAGTCAATGTTCTTTCCTTTTCAACTCAGGAGGGGAGCCGAAGCTCCACGGTTTCTTTCTCTGTTCTTGCAGTTTCCCAGACAGCTTCACAGAAACCACTAAACTTCTTGCCACTTCCTCCCCTGAGTGAAGGCACTTGTGTGGGACTGGAGCTTTGTTCAAAGGTCATCATGTAGCCCTTTATTGAGATCAGTCAAAAACTTTAATGTCCTGGGGCGCCTGGGTGGCTCAGTCGTTAAGCGTCTGCCTTCGGCTCAGGTCATGATCACAGGGTCCTGGGATCGAGCCCCGCATCGGGCTCCCTGCTCCGCGGGAAGCCTGCTTCTCCCTCTCCCACTCCCCCTGCTTGTGTTCCCTCTCTCGCTGTGTCTCTCTCTGTCAAATAAATAAATAAAACCTTTAAAAAAAAAAAAAAACTTTAATGTCCTGCCGAAAGTCACACATGAACCCAAGGGACTTCTCTGTTGGATGGATGTCATGCCCCTATTTGCTAATCCATTTGAGCTAATCTGCATTACAGAAGCATACCCAGGTAACAAAACAGACTGTATTTTCTGGCTCAAAAAGGTTAAAAAGGAGAAAGGAGTATAAAAATTACGATCATTTGTGTATTTGTAACTTACAATACCTGAATTTCACCTTGACCTCAAGTTAAAAATTTCTGTATACATTAGACAGCTCAAACAGCTGAGAGAGCATTTTGTGCTGGAATGGTGTAATATGAAGGACTGGTTGCACAGCTAGGGGAATAGTATTTTAGGGATTCCTGGTGATTCCCTGAACAGTAATGGTAGGAAGCTTTCCAGTTTATACCAAAATGTGAAAAGAGACTTGTCTGTTTCAGCTTCATCCAGGCATCCAAACTCGATGTTGCAGGATACAGGAAATACATGCTTTTGCCATCTTTTGCGTATTGTCCTGTTTACCATCCATGGCTGCCTGAGTTTTGCTGATGGAAACACTGCAAGAAATACTTTTCTTGTACTAAAGGTTTTGGTGATTCAGCGTTGACCTCAGGGCCATGTCATGGTCGGCCCTGTCAGTAGGGACATACATTGTAACTATGTTGCAGGTAACAGAGCCCCACATGATCAAATACAGAATATGTCAGCTTATATTTACTCAGAAAAGTATGATTTTTAAGTCGTGTTATAAACACCAACAGCCAGCCTTAGATTTGTGATGGGGTTGGTCTACCCTGCATATTTTGAAGATTTTTTTTTTTTTTTTACATTTTATAGACTCTAGTTAACCCGAATCATTTCCGTGATGTTCTGTTGCCACCTGTCCCCTCTCTGTGCCCCCCAACTCATTCTTAAGTCACATTTGTAGTTCTTCCTTATTACTGGAATATATGTTCCATAGATAACCCTTCCTTTGTGGCTTGGCTTTCATATTTCCAGGTGCATAACATTCATCTTTTGAAAAATTGCTCTATTTTCAAAGAGCAACTGTAATTTTCCTTCACTGTCGTGAAGGGGTTTTGTTTTCTTCATATACGCTCAAACGGCACATGAAGAAACATGGTGTTATTGGAGTGTAACAGGGTGAGTAGTGGGCTGGAAGCTCAGAGGCTCAAAGTTTTGGTTTGACCACGAACTCATCCTAAAACCTGGATAAACAGCTTCCTGATCTCTCTGTGACTCAATTCCTGTTTGTCTTGAATGCCATTACCCTCAGCTCCCCTTACACAGGGGCACCGTGGGGGTAACAGCTGAGGGTAAACATTGTCTGATATCCCTTAACAGTAGCCTATTAATTTTTTTTTTTTTTTTTTTAAAGATTTTATTTATTTATTTGAGAGAGAGAATGAGAGACAGAGAGCACGAGAGGGGAGAGGGTCAGAGGGAGAAGCAGACCCCCCGCCGAGCAGGGAGCCCGATGCGGGGCTCGATCCCGGGACTCCAGGATCATGACCTGAGCCGAAGGCAGTCGCTTAACCAACTGAGCCACCCAGGCGCCCCTAGTAGCCTATTAATTTATAAAAGATGCGCCTACATTTGGGTTTTTATTTTGTTCTCATAATAATTCTTTGGGAAAGGCAGTCTTCTTTTGCTGCTTAGGAAATCACAGCTTATAGACAAGAAAAAAAATCTACACTTGTTCTAGTAGTGTATGTATGTTTTTGGTATCTGTTGAGTGTGTACTAAAATACAAACACACACAAACATACATACACACATACACACGTCCTTGAAAATTATGGTTCACAATATGGGAAATTTTAAAAAGAATACTTAACAGGGGAATAGTCTCCTCCTCCCAGTAGAAAGCACGAATCCAGCCATATGTGAATAGTATTTCTTTTTTCATCTTTGTTCCAAATTTAGGTGTTCTTTCCCCTCAGAGTTTCAATACATTTTTTCCTGTCTGCCAAAAAGGCTTTATGATATTCTGTTTTCTGTTTTATCTCAAACATTTTGCTTTTATCTTTCTTTATATTTACATAAAGACTTTATATTTACATAAAGAAAGATGAAAGCAAATATATGATATATAAAATTCATACAATTATTTTAATTGCCATTTCTGTTGATCTTAGACATGGGGAGGGCCCGAGTGACACAGCTGATGCCAAGGTATCTGGAAAGCTTGGATCCACGTGGAAACTCTTCAGCAGTCATGGGTGGGCTGGTGCTATGGATGTAAAGATACACATTGCTCATAGAGATTTCTGAGTATGACCATCCTCTGATTGGCACAATGATTGCATCAGTAGGCTCAGTCATACTGGCCATGAAAACACCTCCGCTATCAAGAAGTCATTTGTTGTGGCAATGGGGGAGGGGTGGTGGCAATAAACTGCAAGAAAGTTATATTACATTAGCAACAAGGAACATCATAGGGCCAGTAAAGTCTTCTAAGATTCCACAAATCAGGCCAATGTGTTCTCTCTCTCTAGGTTACACGAGAATATTAAAGGGGCTGCAATTGCCAAATGGTGGAGCTGTTAGAGAATAGTGTTGTCCCATAGCACTTACTGAGATGATGGAAAGGTTCAGTATCTGTGCTTCCCAGTGTGGTAGCAATCAGCCACACGAGCCCATTCAGCACTTGAAATGTGGCCAGTGTGGCTGAGGACCTAAGCTTTTAATATTACGGGTTTTTACTTAATTTTAATGTAAATAGCCACATGTGGCTAGTGACTACAAGATGATCAGTGCAAGATAGTAAATTATGCATATTTTTGTTACTTAGGAGACTAAATGCAGTAACTTCAAGGGAACTTTCCATTCACTGATCTTGAGAATTCTTTGAGGTGAAAAGGGGTGAAAGAGATGGGGCTCTCAAAGCCTAAGTAAGATATGTGACATTGCAATGTCAACCCACCATGTAAATGATGGTGGCTTTGAGAGATGACCAGAAAGTAGTATTTCTGGTTGTAACTCTCCTTTGATTTTCTTTCCACAGGCTCTTTCATGCTGGTGAACACATCTGGGAGACCTGAGGGGCAGAGAGCCCACCTCCTCTTACCTCAGCTGAAAGAAAACGACACCCATTGCATTGATTTTCACTATTTTGTATCCAGCAAGAGTAACACTGCTCCTGGGTTACTCAATGTCTATGTGAAGGTCAATAATGGGCCCTTGGGGAATCCTATCTGGAACATATCTGGAGACCCTACCCGCACGTGGAACAGGGCAGAACTGGCCATTAGTACATTCTGGCCTAATTTTTATCAGGTATGCTCTTTGTTTTCATTTCCTGTTTTGATGCATCTTCTAACTTCTGAAAATACAGATTTTGTATTAGTATAATCAGAGAATGTGTAAGAAGTGTAGGTATTTTTTTAATACTGATGTTAGGGAAGCTTGTGCTATTTGATAGGGAGTGTATTAAGTCTTTGTATGTTACCTTGAGAAATGAGTAAAGAACACCTTTCAAACTTGTTTATGCATATATTGTTTTAAGAAAATAAAAGAAAAATAAAAACAAAAATGTTGTTTTAAGTAACCCGAAGCAGGACAGGAAGCGCTATCTGCAAGTGCTATATTAAGTGGGCCATATCGGACCCACAGAGACATAGCACCTGATTCTAAAAGAGGAGACTCCTTTGTTCATGAGTTGCTCTCAGGAGTAAGTGAATCATTAAGAAGTGAGCCTCATGGACCAGGTAGCAAGGTGCAGGGTCCTGTTCCCATCCCTGTAAGCAATGGGAAGAAAAGAACATATGTAGGATAAGTCCTTAAGTCCTTGTCATGGAGGGGCTGCTGTCCTGTTATTTGCGATGTTCTGTTAAGACCCACGTTACCCACTTGGAGTTCTCATTGAAAGTAACTAAAGGGTAGAGGCCAGGAACAGTTAAAAAGTGGTACCAAAGCAACCCTGACGTCTGACGTCATGTGCCTTCTGGCGGAGAGTGACTTGTATCACAAAGGCATCTGGACTCAGGATCAAAGGTGGAAAAATCGTGACAATGGCATTTGGTGCTTTTTTTCCTTTTGTCCACAGCACCTTTAAAAAATAACTTGATTTTGAGAGTACTCGATTAATTTCAAGCTAAAAGGATTCATTAGGAGGATTGAGATATTTTGCTTTTCTCTTTCTTAATTCGTTTGGCTTGCTCAGGAGCCAGCTGGAACATGGATCCAAGATCATCTCTCAATTTAATTGAGGTGCTTGGCTAGACTCAGGGAAAGGAAAACTGAGTCTCCTCAAGGGCTGCTTGTCTTCCTAATGGCAGGAACAACACCCAGGAATCCATTCTGCAGGTTTGGTGTTTATTAGGGCAGATACATCAATCCCAGTTCCTCTGCCCCTGGATTTGATAATGGGAATAAATGGGCTGTCACTCTTGTGCCAGATTTGTCTGTGTACCCTTTTACCTGCAACAATTTCTAAAATTTAATGATTGAGAAATTCATGTGTCTTGAACAGTACACATGTAAATTGTTAAATAGTACACACATAAATTGTTAAAATCTTTTAAAGGTACTCTTCTTTTAAAAGTGTTAAAAATTTAGATAGGTCTAAATTTAGCAATCTACTGTTAGGAATTCATCCCAAGGAAATAAGGAAGAATGGTTGCAAATAATTAACTACAAGGATTTTCATGGCAGTTTATTTATAATAATGAAAAATCAGAAACAGTATTATTTCCATCATTAGAGGTTTAGTTAATTTATGTTACCTCAGTACAAAAATGCATTTTGTGACAATTAAGAATAATGTCATGGAAGACCATTTAATGATCCACTTAAGCTTATGTTGTTAAGTGGAAAAACTGGTATAAAACAATACATTCCACAATTTAAATTTTACATATTATATTTTTTAATTTTAAAATTATATTTATATGATTAAATATATATATAAAATAATGTGTGTATATATATATTATAAAATGAAGACTGTGCTGAAATAAACATATTAAAAAGTGGTATCTCCCTAGCTAATAGGGTAACAGGTGATTTGAACTTTTTTTCTTTATACCATTGGTCATATTCTAAATTTTCTCCAATATATATGTACTGTTTTTATGTATAAAACCCCAAAGAGTAAAGTAAAAAAAAAAAGTTTTTCTTCTACAGGGAAAAATCTCCTATTTAATAAATAACCTTTTTTATAACTATATTAGCAATCAGTGGTATAATTTAAAAAAATATGGCCTCTGGGACAAAATTTCTCCATCCATAGTACTAAAATGGAAGCCGGGGAAGTGGGTTTGGTTAAGCTAGGCTTCCAAAGGCTTTCATATGCTGGACTAAGTTAAGAGGCTGAGTGTTTTTAGAAACTTCTTTTGGAGAAGACCTTCCCAAAGTAGAGAAGGCGTAGGTGTGTGATGTTCCCACTGCCCCCCTGGCACCTGCATTAGGTTCTGCCTTCGCCCCCAGGCATCTGCTGGATGGAGGCAGTGGGACAAACTTCTAGGCAAGATCAGAAGGTAGGTCTGCTCATATGTGCTGATTTTCCTCTCTTTCACCTTAGCACTGCCTACCCAGCATCTCTAGGAGTGAACTCTCTTGGGCCACTCAGAGCCTCCAGAGTACAATGCATTGGTTTAGTTTTGACCTTGACCGCAATCCAGATCTTAAAGTTGTATTTTGCCTTTGTGTAAACTCAGGCTATGACAGAATACCAAAGACTGGGTGCCTCAAATGATAGACATTTTTTGTTCATGGTTGCAGAGCCTGGAAATCCTGCATGATTCTCTTGGATTCAGTTCTTAGTGAGGACCCTCTCCCTGCCCTGTAGATGGCCGGCTTCTCTTCTCAGAGGGTGCTCAGCAGCCTTTCCTCTGAGTGTGTATCTGGAGAGAAAGAGCTCTTGTCTCCCCTCTGCTTCTTATTAGGATGCTAACTATGGGGGCTCCACCTTCATGACCTCATCTAAACTGAATTACCTCCCTAAAGCTCCATCTCCAGGTATCATCACACTGTGGTCAGGGCCTCAGCATATGAAAATGGGGAGCGACACATCATTCGTCCATAACAGCCTTGGCACACCTAGCTCAGACAGTTGAAATTAAAGGAAGGATTTAGTTTAATGGTCTTCGGAGATCAGCCTTTAAAAAGGAATTCTGGAACTATATTGGAAGTGAGGTGGTCTTATATATTAGGCCATTGTGATTTCCAATGAATTCTTCCTTTCTTGGGCTCTTTTGAATAAAATATTTTGCCACCCCCATTGTGGACCTCTGACCCCATCCCCCAGGCCCACCTACTTCCCACTGTCACGTCTCTTACATAATGAGCAGTGCATGACTTACCAAATCGAATCAGAACCTAAGTCTCACTCTCTCTTTGGTTCACTGGTTGATTCATTACGAATAGCTTTCTACTTTGGATTTAAAAGTGGATTTGTAGAGATTCTTTAATACAGCACTGCTAAGTTTTTAAGAATCTGGTGATCAAATCTGTAAAGGGTTCAGATCCACTGGAAGTGCCCTTGTTAATTTAATTTCTGAGCTCTCCAAGCAAACATTAGTTTTTAAAGTTGTAAAGGCATAGTGAAAGGCATATTTCTCCTTTATCTGCTGGGCAGTAAACATATTGAAATCATTACCCTGACAGTAACACAAGCTATCAGGTAAATGGCACTCTGTAGATGCTACAAGAGAGATGCCAGCAGGAAACCTCCCAGACACTAAGCAATAGGCCTTAAAATCACCATATAAGACCTAATGAAGTTTCCCATTTGGGATGAGAAAGGCAAACCGTATTTACAAAGGTGAGTAAGAAGGAAAACACCTACCAAATCCTGTTTCCACCCCTGGCCCAAGGTGTCAGCCTAACTGGAGATGACCAGAAAAAAAGCTAGAAAAACCAGGTGTCTATGCATGGGCATCACCACCCAAGGAAGGAGCTTCCTTGCATATTGTGGTCCTCAGCGCATTGTGTCTTTATGAGAAGAGGGCTGTCATATCCTGATGCTCTTAAAAATGTGAATCATGCCTGAGCCCATTGCACTAATTTCCCAAATAGATTTACCTGTAAGAAGTTCTGTGCTACTCTAAGGATGTGAGTCTGCTCTATGTGACTATAGTTAACCCTTAAACAACATAGACGTTAGGAGCGCCAACCCCCCATGCACTGGAAAATCCATGTATCACTTTTGACTCCCCCAAAACTTTACTAATAACCTACTGTTGATCAGAAGCCTTACCAAGAACATAAACAGTTGATTAACACACATTTGTATGCTATATGTCTTAATACTCTATTCTTATAATTAAATTAGCTAGAAAAAATGTTATTAAGAAAATCATAAGGATTTCAGGTCTCACATTTAGGTCTTTAATCCATTTTGAATTTCTTTTCGTGTGTATGGTGTTAGAAAGTGGGCCAGTCTTTTTTTTTTTTTTTTTTTGCATGTAGCTGTCCAGCTTTCCCAGCACCATTTTTTGAAAAGACTTTCCCCATTATATATTCTTGCTCCTTTGTTATAGATTAATTGACCATGTAGGTGTGGTTTATTTCTGGGCTCTGTCCCATTCCATTGATCTATGTGTCTGTTTTTGTGCCAGTAACATACTGTTTTGATTACTACAGCTTTGTAGTATCGTTTGAAATCTGGAATTGTGATACCTCCCGCTTTGTTCTTCATTCTCAAGATTGCTTTTTGGGTTTTTTTGTGGTTCCATACAAATTTTAGTATTATTTGTTTTAGTTTTATGAAAATGCTGTTGGTATTTTGGTAGGGACTGCATTCAATCTGTAGATTGCTTTGGGTAATATGGACATTTAGCAATATTAATTCTTCCAATCCATGAGCATGGGATATCTTTCCATTTGTTTGTGTCATCTTTAATTTCTTTCATCAGTGTTTTATAGTTTTCAGAGTACAGGTCTTTCACTTCAAAAAGGAAATATGTTTGTAGTGCTGTTATGTCGTTACTGAAAAAAATCCGGTATAAGCAAACTCACACAGTTCATGCCTGTGTTGTTCAAGGGTCAACAGTATTACATTTTGAATCACAAAATATAAAAAATATTATTCTGGTGTCAAGTGAACATGGTTAATAATAGTCAACATATAAATGATGGCATGTTTAGGAAACAGGCCATTTCTGGGCTAGAAAGCTGCAGACAAGATAGTAGGACATGAACATCTGAAGGAAGTGGGACCCTTGAGAGACCCTCTCTCAGTGCACAGGGAATCTGCTTCCCCCCAGACATCACCTCTACATTAGAGAATTTAGGCTGCAAGATACAGTAGAGAGATCTAAAACATTGATACAGAG